GACAAACACGTTTGATTGACAGTGACGACTGGGGCGGATCGCCATTTATCGCAACGCCCGAACCAAACCCGTCCCCCAAAAATGCAGAATAAAAATGCATGCAAAAAAAAAAAAATCAACAGCTTCCAGCAAACAGCGTTCTTCAATTGAAGCTGTTGACGGACATTTTGCCATCTTGAGTCTCGGTTTGGGCGGCATTTTACATCAAGTGGGCTTCCTTTGCACTGGGACTATTTAGACTTCACGAGTGCATCAATATCAGGCTCATTTGGTTTCTCTCCCCACGGGCCAGATTGGACCCCAACTACCCCCCCGATGGACTGTTTGGGGCCCACAGGCCGGAAGTTTGACACACCTCTTTTTCAAACATTTTCCGCCCCCACATGCTTCCATGACTTTTGGAAGTTTGGTTTAGCACCTGCTGCCGTACTATCGTGGTCAAAAAATCGTATCATGCCCCTTTGTGGAAAGCGTGAAGGGGTATTGGAAATTTGTACTTATTTGTGGATTTTTGGGGGGGGGGTAAACCGAGCCTCCGTTATTCGCTGAAAAACTCAAACTTAAAACCCGTAACTGACACCACCGTGTAAAAAGGATTAGACTGTAATGCCACTAGATGGCATCAAATGAGTAGCGTTGTCTGAATGAAAATCCTCAACTCACTTCAGCATCACGATGCCAACCAGAGTAATTTCGCCATCCCTCGTCATGTCACGCTCCATTTTTTGTGGTGCCACTGCATCGCCGATTTTTAAATGGCACTTATCTAATTTAATATGGCATATGTTCGACTATACTTAAGAGATTATGCAGCGATTCATTTTCGACTTCTGGATCAACAAACGCCAGTCAGGAGGAAAGTGCGTGCAACAGACGGAGAATGTCCAAAGATTAGGATGATTTCACCTTTGAAAAGAATAAAGACTGCAAAGACAAGTGACTTTTTCCAGCTGCACTCAAGTAAACATCGTTAGCTAGCGTCAGCTAGCCTACAACCAATTGATTGGCTGAACAAACTGAACCCCGCCAGAATGCTACAAATACGCTCCAGAGAATTTTTAAAAACTACGACTGACGCAGTCATTCCTTCTCACAGGAATTAATATCAGAAAGAGAAGAAGTCGTTCGGCTAACCTAAAAACTTGTTGAGGCGTGTGCGCTTACATAATCACTGCACTTAACACTGAACAATGTGTTGTGTTTGTAAAAGGAATGCGCGCGCTCGGGCAGACACACGCACAGTCTAAGATGGTTGGTGAGTGGGAGGGAGTGTGTGTGTGTGTTTGTGTGTGGTTGTTTTCCAACATGCCGGCTAGACGTCCTCCTGATGTCTGATTGTATGCCTAAAATGTGTACGCTGACACACATCATTCAATAATCATGGGAAGCAGTTGGCTTCAAATAATCGTCACGTGATGCGATGAAACGCACATCACGCAGACGCACAAGCACGCAGAGTGTAGTCATGTCATTTCCTCTGCATCCTCTTACTGTCTCCATGGCAACCATTTGCAGGGGGGGTAGGAGGGTGGGGGGGGGGGCTTTTGTATGACACACCCACTGCAGCACGTTTGGCTCCCACACAAGCGCACGTGCGGACACCGTTTTTTCGGACAAGTTTTGAATTTATTTTCGCTTGAAAGTGTGTTGGCGTGTGTCCGTGGATGCGCGTTTCCTCCCAAAAACATCGAAGTGTCATTCATCAGATTTATTCCAAATCATTTGGGAAATGAAAGCAAAAAAAAAAAGAGGCGAACGAGGAGATGGTAAGGCCAACATGTTTGTTGGACTTTTTTCATCAGAGTTTTAGAAGAAAAAAAAAAAGTCTCACATTCAAATGCAGAATTGACTTAGCTCAAGGCCAAAAAGCAGTACAAAAACGCCACTGACATGCAAATGGTCAGTATGGATAGTTGCTGTTTGAGAAGCAATGCCTAATTGAACACAAAGGTTGTGCAAAATGTACACATAATATACGAGTACTCATGGGCAGAGAGATATTATTTATCCTCTGCATGGAACAACTAATGGGAAGATGTCGGCGTTGGTCTTATTGGCTCTCAGTGCAGCCTATCCATGCTTTTATCTCCAGTGCACTTGATTATTATAACGCTGCTTTTACTGGACTCCCTCAAAAGAGCACCAAAAAGCGGCAGCTCATTCAGAATGCTGCAACTCGACTTCTGACCGCATCAAAAGCCTTTACACGCTTTACACGCTCCGAAAGCCTTTACACCTGGTCCCAGTCAGCTATAGAATTGATTTGAAAATCCTGCTAGTGGTCAATAAATCACTGACTTGTTTGGGTCCTAAATATGTTAAAGGAATGTTGATTGAAGCCGAGTAAGGCTCAATTAGTGGAGCCCAGAATTCAAAGTAAACATGGTGACGCTGCTTTGCTATTTATATATTTCAGGTGGATTTTGGCTCCCCTCGTTGTGATATTGTTTTGTATTTTGCCCAAATCTGATGATTTTGTCCGTGCCTTTAGAGACGTTGCTGGATGACTTCATGTTGACTCATCCCATCTTCCTGACGGCCGACGCCTTCCAGCAAGTTCTACTGCAGCAGTATCCTCCTGCACACACGCCTGCACACGAGGCGCCGACCCGACACGCAACGCGACACGTCTGAACGCTCACCCAGGAATTTTGTTGTGGCTTTCTGCTTTCCTTGACATCGCGGTTCAGATTCTGTCTGCCTGCCGGGGAGGGGCCGGGAGCGGAGGGGGAGGAGCCGGGAGAGGGCGGTGGGGGTCAGCCGTACGGGGTTGCGGAGCTGGCGCCGGATGGCGTCAGCAGGAAGCGGGCTGTGCTTAGCGTAGCGTTTCGCTACCTGGACACGTACCGAGAACTCCTGCAGGAGGAGGGAGACAAATTCCCCAAGGTGACCTCACAACTACACGACAACTACACGCCTTGACCAACAACCAATGACCGCGCTTGTTTTTGTGCGTGCAGGAGTTGTACGTGTGTGCGCTTCAGGAGCTGAGTCGACATCCTGACCTGGTCGACGACGTCGTCAAACTGGAACGCTGGACGCAAATCTTAAATTGCTCGTACGTGCTCACGCATAGACACACATGCAGGCATGCACAGATGATGAGGGGGTCTGACGTGTGTGTGTGTGTGTGTGTGTGTGTGTGTGTGTGTGTGTGTGTGTGTGTGTGTGTGTGTGTGTGTGTGTGTGTGTGTGCGCTCAGATGCAGCGAGGAGAAGGAAAGCCGCAGGAAGCAGGTGCGACCGCTCTTCCGCCATTTCCGGCGAATCGACGCCTGCCTGCAGCCCAGGGAGGCGTTCAGGGGCTCGGACGAAAGTACGACATTGTCACGCTTGTCAGTGGTGGGGAGGCTTGGGATATATGCTGGTTTGAGTTCAGGCAACTAGCATGTCTGCACAATTACACAAAGCATCAAGGAGGGATGATAACAACAAAGCTGCAAAAAACTCACACATTCATCCTCCTAATCCATATAAATCACGGAAAATGACAAAAACGATGTAATTGGTTCAAGAAACAGTCCCTTTGCTAATTTAGTTGGGCCAGCGATCGTGGTTTCGAAGGCGGTGGGAAGACTAGACTGACATGAAATCTGATGGGACCCCCCCAAAAAAAACCTTTATAAACTTAAAACTTAGAGCAGATCGTCCCTGCCCGCTCACCACTGACGCTCCTAATCTAGCGTGCTAATGCGCATGCTAAGCTAACGGCCCCTCCGCAGTTTTCTGCAGGGTTTACACTCCCGACCACTCGTACGTGACCATCCGCAGCCGGCTGTCGTGCCGCGTGGACGACATCCTGGCGTTGGTGCGAGAGAAACTGCAGTACAGCGACGAGCGGCCGCTCCTTCCCAGCAAACTCATCCTGGTCGCCGTCACGTCGGCCGGAGGTTTGTCCGCCTGCTAATGCCACGTGCCGCCGAAACGCAGTCGCCCGACTTACAAGTGTGCTCTTGTGTGCCCGTAGAGAAGGCGGTGTTCCGGCCAAGCGATGAAGCCGTTTTCACCACGCTGGGGGTCAACACGCATTTGTTCACCTGCCAACCTTCCGAGCTCGACTCCCTGGTCAGTAGCCGCTATTATTTTACACCTACAAAATATCACTGAACATTCATAACTGTGGCTGTGAATGTTTTTGTGCCTTTCAAAGGCAATGTGTCTCCTAGTGTGAGGACATGCGGGTGTTGCCGGGCTATTTCCTGGCAATATATGTTTTCACACTTTTGATATCACTCCCTGTCCCGTCAGCTCCCTCTTCCGGAGGAGATCCACTGGACGCCCGGAGACAGCAAACTTCACGACATGTCGGCCGAGGAAGTGGCCAACCAGCTGGTGGCTTTTGATTGGGAGCTCTTCAGCTGCGTGCACGAGGTCGGGCGCAAACCAGATCGCGGCACCGCTTCGCATCCTTTGACGCCGTGCTTAACTTGCGACGCCCCCTCCCTGCGCAGGTGGAATTTGTGTGTTATGTGTTCCACGGCGAACAGTCCCGCTGGCGCCCCCTCAACCTGGAGCTGGTACTGCAGCGCTGCAGCGAGGTGCAGCACTGGGTCGCCACGGAGACGCTGCAATGCCACTCGCTGCCCAAACGCGTTCAGCTGCTCAGAAAGTTCATCAAGATTGCCGCGCTGTGAGACAAAAACGGCAACGTCGATCTGTCTCCGTCTTTCCATCCATCTATTCGTCCATCCGGCCATCTCTCTGGCCATCCATCTGTCCTTCCGTCCGTCTCTGTACCCGTCGCACTTAGCGGGCTTCTTTGGCCAAGTCCCATCATTGACGGGCCCGTGAATAGACTTATCCTGCCACGTGTGTGTTTCAGCTGCAAACAACAGCAGGACCTTCTGTCCTTTCTGGCCGTGCTCCTGGGCTTGGACAACCCGGCGCTCAGCAGATTGAGACTCACCTGGGAGGTAACATGCGTTGACGCAACACATCCACACACATGACACATGTACTGTATGAACAGTCGCGAAGCAAAGTCTGCCAACCGTTTGGCTCATAAAATAATAATTACAGTGTCACCAAATGCTATGGTCCTTCCACTGCAAGGAAACCCCTCCATCCATCCATCCATTATCCGAAGCATCCACCCAATCGCAGGGCACACATAGATGACACAGTATGACTTGATGGTGGCCAGATGTTGGCAAGTGTGCTACTGCCTGCCATCTAGGTGTTGGCATCTGAAGCACACTCGTATCTCAAATATTGCTCGTATCTTAAGCCAAAAACATGTCGGTTCGTATTATAACAATTTGGAAGTCGAGCCACTTGTATCTCAAAGCGCCGTTTCTCAATAAGCCTTGGTGGTCATCAGTACTCTTGTAAATAGATTGTCTCAAAATGGAGAAAAGTCAGCATGTTGTTCCTCTCCCTAAGACTTTCCATCCTTAAACATTCACCAAGAATGGATGTCCCTCCCGGTTAACGCCGGGGGAAGCCACTCCCGCAAAAAAAAAAACAAACAAACAAAAAAACAAAACAAAGCATATGACAACAGATTTGACGTTTGCAAAAGAACACCTGGAGGTTTCACACTGCAACTATTGAGCGGACGCATCAAACCAAAGTTTAACAAAAATAGGCTCAGCACACCACCATTAAAGCCTCCTCCAACTGGGAAGTCTGGTGGAAGGGCATCATGGTTTGGATTTGCTTCCTCAGGGCCTGGACACACTGGTGTCACTGACAGAGAAATTAATTTTCAAATGTATCGAGACATTTTTCCAGGAGAACCAATGAGTCACAACCACACAAAGTCACTCAACAATCAAATGCACCTTCTGAAGTGGCCCTGATCAGTATCCTGATCTCAACCTCACTGAGATGCTGGGGCATGGATTCACAACAGACATCCCAGCAAAGCAATATTGCCGATTGGTTGACTCAGTCCAGCGGTTCAGATATTTATTTTCCGCAAAGCCACATGTATGGCACTCGCCACTCCATCGTGGATAAGGGTCACGTTACAGACCACCCCTGCAGAATGGGACATCCGCAACATAGAAATATCCCTTTCAAAGGCTTCCTAGGCCTTTTTTTTCCACAACATTCACAGCACTTCATTTTTTAACAACATATTGTGAGCGCAAGAGCAACATATAAGACAAACAAACTTTTTTTTTCCAAACTAACAAACTGAACTAATCATCTGAACATCTACTTCAATAATCATGCCCACAGATGCTTTCTGTAGGTGTAAAAAGTAGGATGGAAGAGAATTTCACATCTAATCATCTTCAGCAAAACCTAGGCTGAGCTCAATATTGTACTTCCTGTTTTCAAGATTCTTCAGTCAAATTTACATGTTGTATTGTATTGTAAATTTACATAGGGTCAAACAAAAGAGCATCCCACCATCTATTGGCCGACGGTGGAATTGCACTCAAAATTAACAAAGCAGAACAAATGCCCCCCACAAAAATTTGCAAAGGAGCAGGACAGCAAAACTGGAACTGGCGATGAAGGGGGGGGGTGGGGGTTCCGGGTCTCACTGTATAGTGTGAACATTTTCTGGTGTTGAGTGAAGAAACATATTAACAAACATGTTTTGTGTGTCAGGGTCTTCCTGGAAAATTCCGGAAACAGTTTCAACAGTTTGAAAGCATCACTGTAAGATTTCTTATTTTTTGGGGCGGCACTGCAAAACCCCCCATGTTCATTGAATAAGCCAATTTTTGCTATTTGGAAATTTGGATGTTTTGTCACCATCAGGATCCTTCCCGAAACCACAAGTCGTACAGAGACCTGATCACCAGTCTCATGCCGCCGCTCATCCCCTTCACGCCTCTACTGCTCAAAGGCACGTTGCACACACGCACTGGCACACACGCACGCACCAACTCCAAATAACGTGGCATTTGTTTTTTTTTGCAGATTTGACTTTTCTTCACGAGAGTTGTAAAACCTTTCACGGCCAACTTGTCAACTTTGACAAAATGGTAAGAGAGTGTCACTCAAGGCTCAATTTTAGGCCCATTTCCTTTGAACATCTACTCAATTCCGCCTAATTTATAAAGCACAAAAAAAAACAAAAAACTGCAGAACAACCACTGAGAACAAAGCGCTGCACACAGATCCAAACAATGCAAAAATAAAGGTCTAATTAAAACAAAACAAAGCACGAAAACAGGTGCAGAGTTTTATGCTGCAATTGCCATTCCTACAAAGGTCTAAGTGTAGAAATCAAGTTTTGGGTAACGGTTTGATTGATTGATGCTTTTGTGCAGCACAAAGTGGCTGACATGGTGCGAAGCATCCGCAGATACCGCAGTGGACAACTGGGTAAATGCACGCACGCATGCACAGGCACACACATGTACACAGGGAGCTAACAGTGCGCTTGTTCCTGCCAACAGTCATGGATACAGAGACGTCGCCGTCCCATTTGCAGACGAAAGCGTACGTGAGGCAGCTGCACGTCATCGACAACCAGAACCTGCTCTTCGACTTGTCCTGCAAACTGGAGCCCAGAGACGGGTAGACGCTACTTCCCCCACCACAAACACGTGAAGGGGACACGCCAAGAGGACACGTTAGGCACCACGCAAAGACAAAGACGACGCATGGGAAGACGTGGAGACTGGCCCCACCTCCTCAACCCTCATTTTCTTACTCTCCAGCCAATCGGAATAAGCTTGGCTGCCATCTTGCCTCCTTCCTGTCAACAGGGAAAGGTGCATTTTGGCCCTGCCCACAAACAGCGAACAACACTCTTGGCTTCCTTTCTTCACCTCCTTGCCGTATTTCCTTCCTCACTTCTTTTCTATACTTCCTGCTCCTTTTCAATTCCTTCCCCTCACTTCATTTACATCCGTCGCTTCCTTTACTTCCCTTCCTTACTTCCTTCTTCACTTCCTTTCCTCAAATCTTGACTTCCTTTTCTTTCCTTAGATGCTTTCTTCACTTCCTAAGCTCACTTCTGCTTTTCAGGTTCTTTCCTCTCTCCTCACGTCCTGATTTCACTTCAATTCCTTTCCTTACTTGCCTTCCTCTCTTCCTTCCCTCGTTTCCTTTCCCTGGCTTCCGTGTGACGTGAGCGGACGCCTCCACCCAGGAAAAAAAGTTTCGGCTATTTTCTGGTGAAGCACTTTGATGACCCTCAGGGCTGCGAGGTTTTGTTTACTACTTCTTCTATTGTCGTGCAATGACCTCATCATTATTATGATTCTTACTATTGTTGTTATTATTATTATTGGTATTGTTTTTGTTTGTTTTTTTAGTTGTTGTGCACAACAATATTTTTGACAAGCAAAATCTGGTTTGGCTGACTGACATGTTAAGCAGAAGCAATGTGTTTTGAGTCCCAAAGCGAGGTTTAAGCTGGACAATTTATTTTTATTTTTATTTTTTTGAAGGACTGGCAACATACAAAGGCTCCGACTTCCAGGACTGGCGAGTTGTCCTCCGGACGCGTTTATTAGCAACGTGACAAGATTTCCCCCAAAATGACAGTCGGTCAAAATGCTGAGTCCGTCCGCTTCGATGGGCCACATCAAGACAGTTCCTAAAATGTCCACTAGAAGTGGCAACATGAGAAGAGTTACCCAAAAATGAGAAAAAATGCCATATCAACAAAAATAACATGACACCTTACTGAGAAAGGGAGTTTTTCTTTTGTTGAGGGGTGGTGGTGGGGATTTTTGGGGGAATGTTTTTCGAGTTGATCAGCTGTGTGTCAAACTTAATTAAGTTGAGGGGCCACGTTCACCCCGATTTGATCTCAAGTTAGTCCTGCAGACCAGCATTTGTCAACTAATAAGCTAGAAATTATGTCTCTTTTGTTGTTATCCGTTTGCAAATCGTATCAGCAATCGTGCATTTCTTCAGAAAAACGCAAACAATATTTTCAATAAGTGTTTTCAGTTACACCGGCAATTTAAGATCAAAATGGATCTAGGTACTGGATGGACTATTTATTAAGTCTCTTACGATGTAAATCATCTCAAATGTCTGCAGCCATCTGGAAATGTTATCCCCGAGATGAAGACCACTTGTCACGTTGCTACTTTTATCACTCAGGCGGGGACGTTTGTGTAAATAGCTGCAGTGTAAATAGACGCAGAATCTATTTTACGGTAAAAAGCTTCCGGCTTGTTTTCGTTTTGCCGCTGGCTTTGTGTCGATTCGACATAGCGGCAGGGAGCTAGCTAGCCGCGTTAAGAGCGAGGGCGGCCATCTTGTTTCAAGACCACAGCGGGCTAGCTCACAAAGCTAGTCTGCTAGCGAAGGGCGTCAGAACGTTGACGCTTGAATTTGAAAGTGGGATATTTTTCAAACTGGATTCTTTGTAATGTGACTTTTCTGCACTTAAAAATCTTGTCATGTTCCCTCCTGCAGCTGCAAAAATAAAAGCTGACGTGCGACCGTTAATCATGTCGACACTTTCTGAAGAAGCCGCAAGTTGCAGATTTTGCACTCTATTACTATTGATTGGCCGAATGTTCATTTTTGCCTGTATTTTCCCCAATATTGATGACCAACCAGTTCATTTTTTTATCGCTATATAGCAGGGGCGTCAAACTCATTTTTGTCGCGGGCCACTTTGAAGTTACATCTTCCCTCGGAGGGCCTTTAAGACAGTGAAACCGAATAAATGTTTAATCATCACATCACATTATTCCAAAAAAACAAAAAAAAAATGATGGCTAGTTTTGAAATCAGTCAAGTGTTTGTTCAATTATTGCTCAAGTGAATGTTATCGGGGTAACAGAATTATTGCAAAATGTCACCGTTATTTATTACGTATGTCAATTAAAGGTTTCGGTACATATTTCAGCAAGGATCATGGAAGTTGACACGGATGATTTGCTTTCGCGGGCCACATAACATGATGTGGTGGGCCGGATCTGGCCCCCGGGCCTTGACTTTGACACCTGCGCTATATAGCCTGATCTTGGCAGGCGACCAGTCCATTGTTTGTCTGTATGTTCCCCAACATCAAGCTGTGTCCAGTTCACGGTGTACTGCACCTCGTGGCCAAAAGTGGTAAATATGCGGGGTATGAGAGTACATACACACCCACACATGGGTATGGCGTGTGGATCTCAACCTGCACATTTTGCACTTGTCTCCAGAGACGTTTCGGTGCTTTTTCAAAAGGGAAGCTCAAATTAGGCTGAGTCGGCGAACGGGTGTGGCATGCTTTCCCATTTGGACCACATGAAGGCTCGGAGTTTATTTGGATTGGGGGGCACAGTCAGCAGCGTTGTCACCCAATCCTACTAATTAAGCTTCGCTGGCTGTTTCCACGGAGACCAATCAAGTCGAGTCAGCGGTGTTTCCTGTCATCGGGACACGTGTCCAATCGGAAAGCTAGGATCACTGACCCATTCCCCCCTGCCAGGGCCCCCACCCTCGGCCTTTAAAAGTTTTTGCACGCTGCCCATCGTCCCGGCTGAGCTCTCGACTGCCAAACCCCACCGACGAGCTGTTTCAAGGTAATGCGCATTCTTCCTCTTTCTGTTGTTTTTCTTTTTTTCTTCTGTTGGTTTGTCTTGCTTTGGTTGTCAAGGTCAGAGATCACATCAAATTGAATCACACAAAAGGTGACACATGACCTTTGTGTTTTCATCCTCCTCCATGGGAACAGCACGCTAAACGCTAACCTTGTACATTTCCGACTGATAGGCGTCATTTGCGCTTCACATTGATGTGAATGATCACATGAATGGGTCACCGAGGGTGGGGTTAAGTGTCCGATCATGTCAGCTGTCACTTCTCCTCCTCGTCACATGATCCACAAGCAGCTGATGCTAAAGTTAGCATCAGGGAGGGAGGGGCTCATGATGGTATGTTATATGCAGCGGTGACGGGTGACGTGTGTGTGTGTGTGTGTGTGTGTGTGTGTGTGTGTGTGTGTGTGTGTGTGTTTCTTCTCACACACAATGGGTGATAATCCAAAATCCTCTCGGGACCATTTTCAAAAACAGATTGGAGGGGACAAATATGGAAAAAAAAATGCTCCTCAATATGTGTCGCTGACTGACAAAAGTCCTCTGCAAAGTTTTCTTTTACTTTGAATAATTTTCTTTCCTTCATTTACTTTCCTCATTTCCAAATCTCATATTTTCTACACTATAGATACAGATGAACAACAGACCGGTCGCCGCCAGCCAAAGTCATATTTAGACTTAAAACATGCACACCTCACACAGACTCAAACCCCAACGTCAGAACTGTTAAGGCCGACTTTGATATCCACTAAGGCGTGCAAAACACATGATGAGCATGACGATGTTCTGCGCTCGGCCCAAAGCAGACATGGAGCGAACATTCATCGCAGTGAAGCCGGACGGCATCCAGCGAGGCCTGTGTGGCGAGATCATCAAGCGATTCGAGCAGAGAGGTTTCCGATTGGTCGCCTGCAAGATGATACAGGTAAGCGAGGCTGTGCGTGCCGCGACATTCCTCTACCGCGTTTCTTCGTCATTGCATCGCGTTTATCCGACAGGCGTCCGAAGAGCACATGAAGACGCACTACGCCGACCTGAAGGAGACGCCCTTCTATGGTGGACTGTGCAAGTACATGGCGTCCGGACCCATCCTTGCCATGGTAACATACCGACTCGGCGAGTGAGCTTTCGGCGCGGTAAACATTCCCCGTGGTGATGGTGATCTCTTGTGCAGGTGTGGGAAGGGCGGAGCATTGTCAAATTGGCACGAATGATGCTGGGAGAAACCAACCCGGCCGAGTCCAAACCCGGAAGCATTCGAGGAGACCTGTGTATCGACATTGGCAGGTGCGTACTTGACGGCCTTGAGCGTGCCGCTAGCGACACGTCATCGCTGTCGGTGACTAGCATTGTCGTTAATGACGCTGGTGATAAATGGTCATCCAGCTAGGTGATTAGCTTCCAATGTGACTCATCGTTGAGTTTAGTGACTAGCATCCATTCTTAGGACGATGCTAATGACTTGTCATCCAGATGGGTACCTAGCATCAGTTCGAACCACACTACTAATGACTCATCATCCAGGCTGGTGACTAGTACCTGTGCTAAAGAGTGGTTAGACGACTCAGGGATTAGTATTTGTGCCAACAACACTACTAATGACTAGTCATCACGTTTAGTGTTTAGCATCCACGCAAATAACACTGCTCATGACTGGCTGTCCACATTAAATGATTAGCATTCATGCTAACGTCTCATCATCTGGATCTGTGATCAGGATCTGTGCCAACGATACAGTAAATGACCAATTGCCTGGCTAGGGGTCTGCATGCATGCTAACGGCACTGCGAATGGCCGCTCATCAGGATGGGGAACTCGCATCCAAGCTAATGTGTTATTTGGGTGTTTTGGGTTTTTTTCCTCATCCCCCCCAGGAACGTGATCCACGGCAGCGACACAGTCGAAAACGCAAAGCGTGAGATCGATTTGTGGTTCAAGGCTGACGAGATGCTGGACTACGCTCCCTGTGCGCAAGCCTGGCTTTACGAGTGAAACGCCGTTGCGCTCAATGGTGATGGAAAGCAGTCATCAATAAAGCCTCGTGTGATCGGCCACACTCTGACTTTCAATTTGGGTGTGTGTTTGACTTGACTTGGCCATGCATCTTTTTTTTTCCTTTTAATAAACTTTACTTAAACAAAGCATACAGAACATTTGGGGGTGGGGGGATCTATTGTAGAAATGGTATCATACCAAATTTACAACAAAAAAAAAACAGCAGGGAGATTACAATGGGAATACAAATCTAATAAAATAAAGATTAAATACTCACAAAGATATAGTGGAAACCAGTGGTGTCCAAACTATGGCAGGGGGGCCATTGGTGCCCCGCCATCCATTTTTTTAGCAGCCTGGGGCATTTTTTTTTTTTGTCACATTCGACATGGGGTTCAAGAAGTGAAGGTGGGCAAAGAGGGAAGGGAGGTCGTCAGAAAAATTGGTACCATTACTACAAATGAATGTTTATATACTGTAGAACTTTTGTCTATATTCAAAGATACAGATAAACCATTTTTGATCAAAAGAATAATTTATCTTCAAAACACTGCAGTGAATAAAGGTCATTCCATTTTAGAGGCAAAAATAGTTTCTTCCACTTTGTTCTCTATTGCTGATTTATGAAGATATCACATTAATGATCCTAAAGTAACTACCTGCATTTGAAAAATGGTCAGTTTACTACAGCTTGGCCTTTTTTTGGTTCCGAATGTGGAGATGGGATTCTGTTAAGTGCCGAACGGTATCCACTCTCGGTGATAGACGGCTGTTGGCCATCCCAAAACTATTTGCCTTAACACCTTTAACAGAAAACTGCTGAAATTAACTTGACAATTCAAACAACAGTAATTGCTTTTGAAGAATTGAAAAGTGGTCCTTTCATCCTTCCATTTTTCTGTATGCAGCCCTCAAAAAAAAGAAAAAGTTTGGACACCCCTTGTTGTAAACAAATATTTGACTTTGTATCGCCCCCCTCCCCCTATGAATTTTGTAAATCCGCCGAAATACTCCCTAAAATTGACATACATAATAAATCTACTGGGTTCAAAAATACCGCATCGAGCACAATGCTATCCCGAGTTAACAAAGCCCAGCATCAAATCCTTCCTCACAATTGAGGCACAATCAACAATTCAGCGAATCAACATTCAGCAAGAGTCGGCAATAAAAACCGCTTGCACTTACTTTTCCAGGACTTGACTTTCGGGTCCAGGGGCCCACTCTGCAGCGATACAGATCACGTGATTGATTGACTGTGTCGCGTGACGCTACGTCACGTAGGAAAAAAAAATCAAAATACTCATCAAAACAAGCAAAGTGCTGCTATAAATGTAACAAACAAAAATTCTCCATCTAAACCAGCGCAACCCACCTGCCGCAATCAAGCCGACACGATCACGTGACACAAATAAATGATTGGCCACCAGGGGGCACCATTGCTTCTTTTTGCAATTTGGATCATGTAAACCACGGCCTCCAACGCTCCTCAAATTACATTTTAAAACTTCAGTCGACACCGCACGAACATTTGCATGTTCGTGGATTTGTTTCTCGATTTTTTTAACATGTGTTTTAATTAAATTTTTTTTTTTTACTAAATCAAAGGGGCACTCAGAGTGTGTCCCAGTGGGCCTCCAGCCAGATGCCCATCCCTGCCATAATTTGTCTAAAAAGTGTGCTTTGTGGACTCTCTCTAGTGCTGACCTGGGCAAAATACTAGCTTCATTCATTCATGCTCAGTTTTAATGCCACACAAAGCCCATCCAGCCCTATTTGGGTGGCCGGGCTTTACCCCCCACTGCGACTTAACCTATGCTTGGGGCGCTGGTACACCATTGCTATTTCTCCCACACTTTTTTGACACCCCTGCACACATACATATATATATGTGCACACAGAAACACACATAGGCACATGCAA